AATTTTGAGGTGTTTGACCTGCCATTGGGAAAGGTGGCGTGATGCTTTGGGCGAAATGTGTCTGCCGTCTGCGCTGCTATCATCTGGTGTGGTTATTATGCCCTCACCAAATTCAAGAAGCAATTCCTCTATGATGAGATAGAGGCCGAGGTAGAGTGTCACAGACTTGTTTATTATTGTCTTCCATTCAAAAATGTTTTAATAAAAACTGAAGCAATCTCTTTTTCATTATAGGTCAACCTGTGTTTCGATCAATTTGTGTACAAATTAGCTGACCAGATATTTGCCTACTACAAAGCAATGGCTGGAAGGTAACAATATCCCTGTCTCATCTTGAATGTTTCTCAAGTTCAATTTCAGCGGTCAAATCAAAGAAATGATTCTGCTATAGATCATGTTTCTTTCTCTTCTTCACAGTGTCCTCCTAGACAAACGCTTCCGTGCGGAGTGTAAGAACTACGGTGTGATCATTCCATACCCGCCTTCAAACCGCTACGAAACACTGCTCAAACAGAGACATGTGCAGGTGTGACATTATACCGATTACCAATAAGAATGGGCAACTCTGTTTTAATGTTGAGCAAACGTACTATCACTCAGGATACTCTGTAAAGGATAAATCTAACAATATATTTGTGCTTTTTTTAGCTGCTGGGTCGCTCCATTGACCTGAACAGATTGATAACCCAGAGGATCTCAGCAGCCATGTACAAATCCCTGGATCAGGCTATCAGCCGCTTTGAGAGCGAGGACCTCACCTCCATAGTGGTGAGAAACTCATGCTTTTAGACTGTTTTGGTATTTGTTGTTGTACTGTCCTTAACATAGCTTTAGTTTTGTTTTGACAGTCAGATAAACTCCCTTCCCTCACACGACTCTGAAGACAAGTTCGTTTGCCCACAGGTTTAATGGTCTTGGGTATGGAGTGAAACTACAAATACACAAATGTACACATTAAATAATAATAATGTCCAGAAATTAACAAAACTACAGAAGCAAAATAACATTCACATTGATATAATATGCTGTGATGCTTGGAAATACACACTACAGCGATAGGACGCTAAAGTAGAATGTGGCCAATGCAATAGCTCAGTAAAAATGACAAATAATTAACTTTAACCTTAACAGTTTACATTTATATACAGGTATAATGAACATTAATGTAAATCAAATAAATACTTACAAGCGATGCTGTTTCAAGGTTACAGATCACAGAAATATACGGCGATTAAAGTAGAGTGACCATACGTGCCATTTTCCCAGGACGCGTCCTGGCCAGAATTTCTATATTGCCTAAAATATCTAGGTTTCGGCTTTGTTTGTGTGTGCAGACCAATCGGTGTATGACATCAAAATACCATATAGACG